GAGGAAAGCGTTCAGCATTTCCTTTGTGAATGCTCAGCTCTAGCGGCTATTAGACATAAAGCGCTGGGTAGACACATACAAACAAAACTAGCAGATATTTCAGGGTCCACTTTAGGTGACATCGGAAAATTCATCAGGGAATCAAGATGGTTTGACCGAGAAAACAAGACATGCATAGGTATTTATCATACCCACGAAGTGCATCAAAATGGCGCAAACGTGCTCATTGTATCATAGCAGTACTATGAAGCACTGAAACCAACCAACACAAGGTTGAAATGGCCCACGATGTAATTTCTATACTGACGATTCTTTCCGCCAGGCCTCTTGCAATGCTTACATAATTTAATGATTTAAATATCTCTAATTTTATCAACACTCAGCAACCTGGGGACTTTATTTTGCATTCAAAGTTTCAGGAAAAATCTATTAAGTGGTAACGAAAGCAATGCAATGTCTAAATGAGTGACTCGCCGAGCTATCAGCTAGCCTAACCTTGGAAGAAGCTACAGTTTGACCCAGACGTTTGACTTTGATTTCCGAGGGGCGACTGCTTAAAAAAAATTTCGTGGAATGTTGTTCGGACCTGTTGGGTGTAGTTATTAGAATTTCAAAATTTGTGTTAAAATTTCGAACTATCGATCACTTGTGTCTCCTAAGGAATCATTTTTGATCTTTTTAGTTATGACGTTTTTGCAGCAAACGACAACAAACAATGTACATAACTTGCCAACGGTGGAATTATACACCGTTCTTGATTGCACTCATTAAAATCTAAATGTTTAACTTAAACTACAACTATAAATTTACAGTAAAGGAACAGCGGTGAACAAGGGATAAATGTGCGTCAGTAACTGCAGCATTCGATCCACCAGAAATGCAGACGCGTTCTTTAAAAGTTTCCCCACAACAAATGTGCACGTACACAGACAACAAAATGCGACGGTAATGTGACGCGTTTAGCTTTATAGAAAAATAAAAGAAAAAACACTTAACTAAATGCGCGGAAAAGTTTTAAATTATGCACCACAGAATGCCATTAGTCAGTGGCTTGCCAGGCGACAAAGTGGTCTAACGATGCGTTGGTCCAGCGATAGGATGCAAA